AAGAAATAAAAATCAAACAACCTACAATGTACATATAGCACTAAGAAAGATTAAATATTGTATATCCATAAGGCACACAAGCATAAAGTCCCGTAAATGTACTTTCAATCATTTTAATAAAAAGGAAATGGCAAGATGGTAACTTGTAAGATTTTCAAACATGAGATGAGAAACAGTATACAATATGACCAGAAAAGTAAATACACAGATATGTAGTATAGGAAAAAATTAAGGAAATAGGCCATTTCCAGATGGTAGGAGTCAAAAGATGTTAATGTTTATATTTCATTTTCCTGATGATCTACCCTTGGTTACTTTCAAAGAAGTCTTGCAAATTTATTCAAATGAGATACTGCTCTTTCTGCTGGAGAGATGAAAACTGGCACCATTTTTACTGCAAATAAAAGACAAAAGTGCTTTTTTTCAGAGCAACATTTTCTTTCATTTTTGACATGACTTACCACACACATGATGTAGGACAGGATAGCACCAGAGGAGCCAATGAGCGCACCCACGATGGTCAGCAGGTTGTTGTTGAGCAGGAAGCCCTCTGCACACAAGGCCCAGCCAGAGTAGCTGTTCAGCACAGTGATAACCACCGGCATGTCAGCACCCCCAATGGCAGCAGTCAGAGTCACACCCTGGGCGAAACCCAAAGCAGAACAAAATGAATAAGGTAACAAGAAGACCTGTGCCATTTAACATCTTGGTTCTGAATCCCTCTGATTTTCCACTTAGTGTATTTACATATAAGTTCCACTGCTGGTAATAACTGTGTCTCTTACCTGACCCCTCACTCACAGATACAACTGTAAACACTGAACCACCTGCCACCAATCCACACACACAAAAAAAATTCCATGTCCCAAAAGGCAGTGATGAAAGCAGTCATAAACTAGAGAGAAGTCTACACTATGGCATTAGCTTAAGGGCATCCCTATTGATGCCAAGTGAGGCAGCTAAAAACGTCAATAAAAAATCTCACTAGTTAAGAATGGCACATCTTCAAACTAGCAACAACAAATGTTGGCGAGGATGTGAAGAAAAAGGAACTCTCCTGCACTGCTGGTGGGAATGCAAACTAGTACAACCACTATGGAAAACTGTTTGGAGGTTCCTCAAACTGCTAAACATGTGGGGGATTTACTTTTAAAAACCTCTTGTTTTTAATTTTGACTACTAAAAAGGAAACTTTTTATTATTAAAAAACAATGATGGCCCTCCCTGCTAGGTTAGGCTCCATAAACATAAAGGCAAATAGCATATGGCTTCTCGAGATACCTTCTCTGTAAAATGAGGATGCTCCCCTACATCCATAATT